AGGTCTCCCCTTTTTTTTTTTTTTTTAAAACTAACAGACTGCCAAGTCTAGAGCAACTAGATGACCTTTGGCCCGTGCTAGCACGGGCCCAACATAGTATGTGGTTCAATTTTCGGTATGTATGCAAAATTTAAACTTATTTATCTGGTTTTAGTTACGTTTTCCTTTCTACAAAAAGTAACTAAAGTTTTTTATAAAGAACATACAAATTCTGTCATACACTACAATTTATATACAATTTGAGCATAACTTTTTGTTGTACAAATGACATACAAAAATAAATATACAATCTATTTATGTCTTACTCTTCGAGTTTCAATCTAAAATTTCATGCAAAATCAACTCGAATCTTCACCAAATTGATATATAAACGCCAAAGGATATTTCAATTACTTGCGACGTCTAATTTAGATAAATAATAATTTTGTAAGATTCTATTTTTGATTCAAAGCTTCGAAACTTTTATGGATGTCAACGGAGTTTAAGCTTATGTCTTTACGTTTCACACGTCTTAAAAAATTGTGTATAAATGAATACATAAATAAGTTTCACATAAAAGAACAAATAAATGGTTTCAGCCTCGCCTTCAGCAAGGTTCCTTTTTTTTTTTTTTTTAAGTATNAAAAAGTAACTTGACTTTAGCATTGTTAGGATGACGTAAAAAATGATGTGATAGTTAACATGGATCAATTATACGGGATGTGATTTTTTTCAAGGAAGCTTTAGTTCGTCCCTTTTTAGGGATAAGTTTATCCTTCATAGTTTAAAAACGAAGACGGGAGGTGCAGTAAAAAATAAGGATTTCTAGCCTATAAGCTGGTAAGAGTGCGTAGGCCTATCTCTATATACGTCATAGAAGTGACAAGCAGGCGGGTCGGGTATGGTTTGGGTCGAAACGGGTAATGAAAAAACAAACAAATTATCCGACCCGACCCCTATTTAATACGGATAAAAAACAGATCAACCGGCGAATAATATGTGTAACTATATTATCCATGACTTCTTGCATATGATCACTTTTGGGAGAATTCTTAGTCTCCCTAACTTGAGGAACCCCCAATTTGAGGCTTTACAAATGTAAAAGTTAGACTCGTTGGTTATCCATTGGTTATCCATTTTCTAAATGGATAAAATGGTTCTTATCCATATTTGACCCGTTTTTAAAATGTTCATTATCCAACCCATTTTTTGTGGATAATATGGGTAGTTAACTATTTTCTTTTAACCATTTTGCCATCCCTAGTATGTCGGATAGAGTTGGGTGGAATGGGGGAGAAAGAAGAGAGAGAAAGAATGAGGAAGATTGCAGTCTAAATACATTATTTTGTATAAAATTGGTAAATTATATATCAAATATTATAAAAGCATTGTAGAGTTGTATAAAACTTTCTAATATGTGTATTGGAACTTATTCTAAATACTCATAAGCTTTTTTTGCTTAACACACATGTAGACCTATTGTTTTGCAACAACATCGCAAAGTTGTATAGAACTTTCAAATATATGTACTTAAATTGCTAAACATAAGATTGTATAGAACTTTGAAATATGTGTACTGAAATTGCTAAATATATAAGTAGTTTTTTCAACACATGAGTGTGACAAAGTTTCCATCTGTAGTTTTCTCCATGAAACCATTTTTCTCCTAGCTCTTACTTACATCATAACAAACATGTTCGTTACATCTTTTACCTTTTGGGATAAGTTTTGAATACCTCAATAAATGACAGTTAAGATAAATAAATACTTTAAAAATAAATAATACAGAACAAATAACCACATCATGTGTAAAGTAACAAATTGTAATCTAAATGGATTTTCTTTGCTAAACAACTTAAATGAATATGGTGGTTTTCTTTTAAAATTATCCTATTTTAGAGTGTTTGTCCAAGTTTTTATGAAAAAATAGCTTTTAAGTATTAGCATAAGTTGTTTTTCAGAAGCTGAAAAATAGCTTTTCCCTATAAACACTTTTGAAACCTAGGTCGAGCATAAATTGTTCTAATATTGAGAATTGAAACATAAATTGTAGTAACTCTCTAGTAGTACTTTTTCTGAAATAGTTTTGACAAAAAGATCTTGTCAAAATAAATAAATTTAGGAGGTTTGGCCAAAATGCATGTTAAATTGGGTAAAACTATTACTATAACTTAATTAGCGTCACAACTTCTTACAAAATATATTATCGGATAACTTTGTTGAAAACCCAATTGGAGCTCCATAGAATTGTTTTCGTTATATTTCCTAACAAATATCAAATGTTTACATTTACAAAAATAAATTTAGGCAATTTTTCAAATTAAAACAAATAATATTCCCTAATTGTTGGAGCTCATGCTTAACTTACTAATGAATCGACTTTTGCGAGTATCCCGATTTTCTATAATTAACTTTCAAGATGTGGCTAACTTATTATATTAGTCTATTACCTTCTTTTTTTTAAAGTTGCATTGCAAATACCAGTGTATTATTGTTTGTTCGATTTTTTTGACTATATTTGTTAACTTTATATTTGTTATGATCACTATTTTTAATTTAAAATTAATGTATTTGTGTCTTTGACCAATTTGTAAAGATAATAATCTACAAGTTAAGTCAAGCTATTATAAAAGTTATTTCTAAGGAGGATGATCGACATATATAGGTAAAAAGACTGGAACGATTGGGCCCCAACGTTGCAGTGCTACTAATGACGGATGTTATGGATATTTTGTCCAAATAAGGAAATGCACAATATACAAGGCAATCTAGTACTACAAGATTAAAGCACAGTTGTGCGCGAAATGCCAAAATTGTCCCTGGTCGGCAAGCTGACCTTCAACTGCTTCTCTCGCTCTTCTATATATTAGTAATTACTTTTCCAATTGGGGACAGGATTCTAACCAGACCTTCCTTTCTCCTCAAGTGCAATGGGAGGCTGAGTCAGGGGTCCGCAAGTACAACCCACACTAGTGCAATTGCTGTTTCCTCTTTCGGATCAAAGTCAGGGGTCCGCAAAAAATTCTTATGTTGGATCCAGTAACAAGCATCTTAGTTTTGGAATAAATGGGTAAGAATTCGGATTCTTCAGCAAAGTGAATAAAAACATGCCTGAAATCGTAATAAACAATTTGAATTTAACCCTTAAATGGACTCTGTTCCAAAAACTCTCACCTTATCATATCCATTTTAGCCTTACCATGGGAGAACTTCCCAACTAGTGTGTACTTACAATCTTCAGCTAAAATATCAAGGTACTCTTCCGGGAGAAGTATACACATGGTTTACCAATGTAGGTTTTGTGGCTATTGTGAGATGGGAAAAGAGGTCTTCGTCCTGATCTAATACCTTATGTCCCCTTAAGAACAGTAGGAAAAGACGTCCCAACAGTTGCCGTCGCGTTACTGCTCGTCTGAGTATTCGGGTCGGTGAAGATGTTCGCATCAGGCGGCTGAGGCAAGGGATGTATCCCACTCGCCGGTAGAGATTCAGCTGATGTTTCCATGGAGAAGACGCGTGAGGCACACACTTATATTTTGACCCAGATCCTCTTCTTATATGAGAGGGCAATTCTTGTGTGATTTACTTTTCTTTGTTTCCCATTTTTCTTAAGAAACATACTTTTTCTTTTCTTCTAAAGAAACTGATTTTTTGGGAGAATCTTACACAAATATCCTAAAAGAGTCTCAACTTATCAAGCTTTAGTCATTAATTATACACTTACCAAACTAGTCAAACAACTATAAAAATTGAAAAGCCAATTAGATTTATCAAAACAAATTTGAAAATTTATGGCCAAATGCTAACAAAGAAATAAGGTTATTTCTCTCCAAGAATCATACACAAAGATCTCCTACCATATTTTTAAGCGTGATTAGCAATATTAGATGCAAGACGGAAAGGTAATTTCATAGATGAGATAACAAATAAGGTGATAAAATACAAAAATAATATATTTGTACAAGATTCCAAAAATCTAAGCAAAAACAGACCCTTTTCAAATGGGTATGGTTGAGATTCAACATATAGATGTGTCAATATACAAAATTTGAGGAAGATTGTAGATGATTTGGACTGAATTAATATCAAAATTCGTAGTTAAAATCGAATTCATAAAGTTCTTCTGTGACACATGTATCAAACATGTATCACACATGTATCTCACATGCATGTATACATGGATATACATGTAATACACATTTGATACAAATATGATACATTTCTGATACACGAGTGATACGTAATGTGATACACATCATTTTTTAATGTTCATCTTCTACTTGGAATTTTCAATTCAAACCACCTTAAAACTCCACCAAATCATCCCAAAACTGAGATTCAAGCTCTTTACGATTTACCCAATCTATTCTAATAACACACACTCAAAAGAAAGCAAAAACTTACTTTTTTTTTGCTACAAATAACTAATTGGCTAATATTAATAATATTTTTATGAATTGGCTAGTTTTTATAATTAGCAAAATGGATATAGCTGATATTTTTCCTTTTTTTTTATTATTATTATTATTTTTTAAAGATATAGGCCATGAACTAACTTCTTTTCACACTTGTAATCTTTGGTGTTCAGTCCACTGGTTCTTTTATTGCAATTGCAAGATACGGAAGTGGCACTCCTGTGCCCCCATCAATACTAAGTCGTGGTGCTGGTTGGCAGGTAAACAGTTTTTCTTCCCTTGAATCTTTCCCCTTTCCCTCACCAGAGGCAGATTAGGGGGCAGAAGGGTGTTCACCAGAGCCCCTTTCGCCGAAAAATTACACTATATACGTAATGAAAATCTGTTTTTTACCTCTATATATTATGTTTTGAATCCCTTGACACAGCCCAAATGCATAGTTTAGGGGTCAAGGGGGTTCAAAAACTTTATAAGGCCATTAGTTCTATTCTCACTAGCTACAATCTTTTTAACTTTTTTCTTTTATTGAACTCCCTTGGCGGTAATCCTGCATCCGCTACTGCCTCTCACCCTCTTGTAAAGTAAGCAAAGAAGAGTAAAAGAGAAAGTTCGATTGGATTGAATTTTTTTTTTCCAAAAATAATGGACCATTTCTCGATTTGTGCATGTTAAAAGTTCTGTTGAATTGATTTAAGCGGAGCTTTAATCGGAATCAGATGAGTAGAACTTTTAGGGAAGTTTTATGTGAAGTCGGTAAGTAGATTAAGAGAATTACACAAAATTGGAACATTGTCGATCTGTTCCAGTCTCAGCATTTTCCAGATGCACAATTTACCATAAGAATAATCACTTGTTTTACGAAATCCCAACACCCAACTCTAACTAGAATGCTTTCTTCCCGTAACACAAGTCAAAATATGTGTCCATTCAACTGCAAGTTTGCAATCCGAGATGTCTGATCTGGTTCATGTACTTGGAACTATAATATTTAATATAATGCTAATTTTTGTAAATTTTGTTATAAATTTATTTTGCATTGATCCATTTAGGCTGTGACAATACATGTCAGATGTGATATTTCTTGAGATAGCAGATATCATACTTTATGTGGTTAAGGGATTGGAAGTCAATAGTATTTTCTCTTTCTAGCTTCCCCTAAAATATTCTCTTTTTCTCTGCTCTCTGTCTTTCATTTTCTGCATTGAAGGATTGTACTTCATGAGTACAAGGCATTTATACACTTACAGAAGAGACTATCAGGAAAACTAATCAAAACAAATAAAGGAAAATATCCTACGGATCTGCTCTTATAATTGAATCACCTATATATAGAGAGTAATGTATTAACGACTAATTATTCTGTAACACTCCCCTCAAGCTGGAGCATTGATATTGATCATCCCTAGCCTATTACAGAGATAATCAACTTGAGCTCCATTCAAAGCTTTTGTGAACAAATCATTTAGTTGTTCTCATGTCTCCGCATGATTAGTGCAAAATCGAGTTTTCTTGAATCATCCCACAAATAAAGTGACAGTCAACCTCTATATGTTTAGTTATTTCGTGATATATGGGATCTGAGGTGATATGAAGAGCAGCTTACTTATCACACTAGAGTTTTGGTGGTGCATAGAGCTTCAACTCAATTTCTGTCAGAAGATGATGATCACATGATCTCATATGTTGACTATGCCATAGCTCCATACTCAAATTCTGCACTGGACCATGATACACCATTTTATTTCTTACTTCTCCATGATACCAAATTTCCACCAGCAAAGACACAATAGTCAGTAGTATCTCTTCTATCAATTTTGGATCCAGCCTAGTTAGTTTCTACAAAGCACTCAATTCGACTATGTCTATTATTGTCTTATAATATGCGAGTCCATGGGCTCCTTGTAAGTAGCATAGAATCTGCTTCAAAGCTACTCAATGTTTGAATGTAGGTGCAAGCATGAATAGGCTAACAGCACTTGGTGCTAAAACAATATCTGAACGAGTTATATGGAGATAGTTTAATCTTTCAACTGACCTCCTATATCTATCTAAGTCATCAAAGTTCTTAAGATGCACATTAGGAACCATTGGAGTACTACAATGCTTGGCTGCCTTCTTTCCAATTCCAGCAAGCACGTCAAGGATATAATTTTCTCTAGCTTACTGAATTTATCAAACCAAGCACGGGGATCATGCTTCTAACCATACAAGGATTTCTTCAATTGATAGGCTTTCCTATACTCCCTTTAGCAACAATATCAAGTTGTTATCCCATATACACCTCTTCTTGGAGATCACCATGAAGCAGTGGATTATTGATATTTTACCGATGTAAAGGCCAATGCTGAGAAGCAACTAAAGAAATAAACAATTTGACACATGGAGTTCCCCCGGAGAAAAGTGTTTGAATAATTCACTAAATAAGTTTTAACATACCCTTTCGCCACCAGTTTGGCCCTTAAGTCTGGCAATAAAACCATCTAGATTTACCTTAACTATAATGACCCATTTGCATCCTACTGCCTTTTCTTCTTTTGGTAAGTACACCAAGTCCCAAGTGTGATTCTCATCTAATGCATGTACCTTCTCATGCATTACATCATACTATCCGGGGTGACTTAAAACTTTAACTGCCTTAGGCATAAAGATAGAATCTATAGAGTCAATTAAAGCACTAGATGCAGGAGATAAATGGTAATAAGAGATACAATTAGCAACGGAATATGTAGTTATACACTGATGTTCACCTTCACGAAGAACAATAGGAAGAAGGATTGAGTGGAGGAGTATCAAATGACGATGAAGCTAGTGCAGGACATGTATTATTGGTCTCTCTTCTCCTGGAATAAACTTGAACAATCAGTGACTTTGCTGGAGTAGATGGAAGACCATAATCCAACGAATACGTAAGGGAGGAACTAGAAAAAACATCCTGATCCGTCAGTTGTTCTACACTTGGTGAAGTGATCTTGTAGATGAGCCATTCTTTCATATTCCGCTGACTTGGAGAAATGTGAGAGAAGGAAAAAAAATAGGATGTTCTTAGAGAAGACCATATCAGTATAGACCATATATCGGTAAGTACTAGAGAGTAGTCACCAATAACTCTTCTGATATCCCAAAAAGAAACACTTTAAGGCCTTAGGGTCCAGTTTAATAATATGGGGACTTATATCACGAACATAGCATGTAATACCAAACACACTTGGCTCTATAGGAAATAATGGCTTATTAGGAAGAGCAAAAAAAATACTATAGCGAATGTCACCGTTAAGTACTGTAAATGGCATGTCATTAATTGAAAAGTTGGTTATGGAAAGCGCATCAACCCAAAATGGCTTTAGGGACTTACACTTGGAAAAGCAACGCACATGCGATATAATAAAGTGTTTGTTGTTCCTCAACAACTCCATTGAGAGGGAGTATCAACATAAGAAGATTGATGGAGAACACTATGTTGATTCATATAGTTCTAAAATGACATGTGTTCTTTAGCATTATCGCACCTTAATGTCACATAAAAACATTAAATTGTGTCTTTATTTTAGCACAAAATATAGGCAAATGAGAAAACAACTTAGAGCGATTCTTCGTATAAAATAAATTCTTCTCGTTTGAGAAAAATCATCTATAGAGATTAAAGGAAAAAGATAAAAGATTCTGATTTTATTAGATTTGTATGATCTTTAGGAGATATAGATGTAGATATTTTAGGAAAATGTTTAAACAGAAAATCCCTTGAAATCAGGGATCTCCTTGAGTCAAGGGATTGTTACCATCTTTTGTAGAACTCTTCTTTGTATAAATTCATGACTCTTACACAGATTTGATTATGGAATAAAAGAATATTTTTCTACTCAAACTTTCATGGTATCAGAGCCACCCGTGAAAGAGACTGCTGCTTCAGATTCAACTCGTGCCATCATGAGCCTAAGCGGAGATACATCAAATTACTCATTCTAGTTAACTGTCCATAAGCTGAATGGATGGAATTATCTGGAATGGGCTCAGTCCGTTAAACTGGCCATAGATGAAAGAGGAAAATTAGGTATTTGACCAGAGAAACTCAAAGGCCAAAAGCCGAAGATTCAAAAGCCAGCACGTGGAAGTCTGAAAATTCACTCATCAGCGCATGACTGATTAATTCCATGGAGCCATCTGTAGGTAAACCTTACCTTTTCCTTCCCACAGCAAAAGATATTTGGGAGGCTGTGAGAGAAACTTACTCAGATTTAGAAAATTTCTCACAAATCTTTGAGGTAAAAACAAAACTGTGGAAGTCTAGACAAGGGGAGCGTGAAGTTACTGATTTTTATGATGAGATGATGTGTCTTTGGCAAGAGTTAAATCAATGCTATAATGATGAGTGGGACTGTCCAACTGATAGTGTTAGGTTTATGAAAAAAGAAGAAAGTGATCGTGTGTGTATTTATTTTTGGCTGGGTTAAATAAGGAGTATGATGAGGTTAGATCCTGGATTTTAGGAAAGAAACCATTGCCAACTCTTAGGTAAGCTTTTTCGGAGATAAGGAGAGAAGAGAGTAGGCGGAAGGTGATGCTAAAACCAAATTCAGATTCAGATTTCAAAATGCTAGAGAACTCTGCACTAGCTACAGTAATAAATGAGACTGAAGGGGATAAAAAGAAAAAACCTTGGTGTGAGCATTGCAGGAAGCCGTGGCACACAAAAGAGACATGCTGGAAAATACACGGGAAATCTCCAAATTGGAAGAAAAAAGGAAATGATGGTCGATTTGGCCAGCCACTTGACAATGGAGCATTGCAGGTTTTCGGGGATGACAAGGGCCAACAGACTACTTCAGATTTACCTCAGTTCACAAAGGAACAGTTAGAGTTTCTGCATAATCTTTTGCAATCTCCACAAATTTGAGGTGGAAACACTCCAAGCCAACCATCTTGCTCATTTGTCCAAAGAGGTATCCTTCCCTCGGTCTTTCTTGGTAGTAGTACCCCGTGAAAATTCCCTTGGATTATTGATTCCGGAGCAACTAATCATATGACCAGTTGTTCCTAATCCTTTTCCACATATGTCCCATCTGCAGGAAATAAAAAGATTTGGGTGGCAGTAGCTGGGATGGGAACAGTTAAAATTTCACCCCGTCTTGTCCTACATGATGTTCTTCATGTTCCTAAGTTATCATGTAATTTATTATCAGTAAGTAAACTTGTTCATGCCCTTCGTTGTCGTGCCATTTTTGAGCCTTTCCGTTGTGAATTTCAAGAACTAATCTCGAGGAGG